AAAGGCTGCAAATTGTAGAGCTTTCAGCCTCCAGTCCTTCCTACAAGGCACAATCTGGTACTTTCAGGGGCAGGTCTATTTCACGCCTCTGATGGTTGTACTGAAAGTCCTAAGAACCACAGGACTGAAGTCCTGTTCACTTGGGGGCAAGTGAGACCCTATGGTCACCACAAATAGCAGCCTAGGAACCCAGGTCATGTTATTTGGACCCTGTGAACCCTAACACTACAGGAAGTGCTGAGTCTTACAGACATAAGCCTCCTGCTCGGTCCACATCACTTTGATGTTACAATGAATCAAATGTCTTTGGATTTCCCTGTGGGATCTGACTTTACGTAGAATTTCTGCTCCTTTCTTCCCAAGGAGCTGGGGTGTCATCCATCAGGTGCCGCCCAGGCCCCTCCAGACCTACCTTCAGCTTGTGCTCCAGCACCCCCTCCTGCTGTCTCAGAAGGTCTTCTCTCTCCCTATTCATCTTCTCTTCCAGCTGCGCTAGATTCTCCTTAAGGCTTTGCTCCTGCATCCCCAGTTTTTGCTCTTCCTCATTCTGTTTCTCCTTTAGTAATGCTAGCTTCCTCTCAGCTGCCTGCTTCTTGGCACGTTCAACTGTTTCATAACAGTTTTCAAGAGGGAAGAAATAACAGTTATGCCGAGCTTTACCTTCCTGAGCTCAGCCACTAAAGTTACTTGAAAATGGCAGGAGGGAATCTGAACTCACCTTCTATCCACATCAGGAAGACACGCTTCAGCATGGGGTGGAAAGGCACTGATCAGACGTACATGCAACCCAACCTCCCAGAGTTGTCTTCAGACATATCAGAGAGCTCCCACAGAAGGAAAAGAAGTCCCTGGTGTCAGGAAGTGTTTGCTCTCACACCAGTCAAACAGCAGCACAGAAACCACCTTCCCGTCTGTGGGCTCATCCCTGCCCCGAACCTGCCACAGCCTTCTCGCCATCCGTGAGGGCTTTGTCTGCCTGCAGGATGGCTTCCTCCACTCCTTCTTGGGACTGCAGGAAGCTCTGCAGGACCTCCTTTGCCTGAGGAAACAGCAAGAAGCAAGGACTTGTCAGGCAGCCAAGATCTAGTCTTTTACAGGGAAACGTCTGTTCAGTAAAACTACAGATTGGAACCTGTGAAATCTTCATCTTTCAAAGGATCCCACACTGTTACAGATGTCAGGATCATGTGCAGCTCTACAACCAACCATCCTCCATTGTCTGCAACCACAGCACCTGCCCATCGTTTTCCTTCTTTTTTGATTTTGTTTTTTGTTTTTGAATGATGCTCATCTACTCTTTCTTTATTATAATTTCACATTTTTTACATCAACTTGTGACTTCTATCTCCTCTTCCGGAAACTTTCCTGAGCTCTCTTCTGAGCTCTTAACAGCTGCTGAGAATATGGAGCTGCCCCACAGCTCCACCACTTGAGGGCTGTGTGATCTCAGGCAACTTACATCTTCATGCATCATTTTCTCAATTTGATAATGAGGATGACAGCAGTACCAGCACCATTGTTCTGATTCCTTAATTGATTGTCGAGGCAACTCAGCAAAGCAGAAGGACCCTGAGATCACCTCCTTTCGCAGGCCAACCACACCACAATTATTTGCAGAGCAACCATCCATGAAAAAGACCAGAATCTATCAGAGAAAAACTCCTACAACTGAAGGCATGAAGAAGGAACCACAAGAATATAGGTAGGAGGTGGGTAGCTGCAGTGTAGACAGATTCCTTTCCCTGGTGGGTTATTCACAACTGGGAGAGATTCACAACCCCCAGGGGAGTGAGAGGCCCAAACCCCTTGCTGGGCTCCCCAGCAAGAAGTCTGGCACTGGGAAGACATGGAGGGGAGGCCAGTGGGGCTCACTTTGGGAGTCCCAGAACGATTGTAGAAATAGAGAATACTCTTTTCTTTGCTTGTATTTTGTTTTTGTTTTGATGGCAACAGTTTGTTAAAATTTTTTACTTACTTATTTAGTTTTGTTGGGGGGTAATTAAGCTTATTTATTTATTTAGCTTTCGAGGAGATACTGGGGACCTTGTGAAGGCTAAGCATGTGCTCCACCGCTTGAGCTCTATCCTCTTCCCCTTGAGCTGTATCTTTCTCCCAAGACTCTACCCTTAAAGGGTGCACACAGAACCTCACACCGGCCTGGACCCAGGACCTGGGACCCAGGGCAAAAGCGGTAATTTGAGGAACCTGGGGCAGACCTACCTGCTGACTCTGGAGAGTGTCCTAGAGAGGCAGAAGGTACCTGCAGCTCACCCTGGGGACAGGGACACTGGTGGTCCCAATTTTGGGGAGCTCCTCTTACCTTGTGGACGTGGTGCTGGCAATCACCATTTTGGAATGTTCTCGCTAGCTTTTTAGCCCCAAGACCCAGCACCACACTGATCCCAATGTGCAGGTGACAGCGCTGGGATGCCCAATGGCAGGCACCTAGTTCAGCATGGACACAACTCCAGCCATCAGCAGACAGGCTGCTTAAGACCGCCTGAGCCCACAGCCAACTCTACACAGGATCCTGAACAAGACCCTCACATCAGCATACAAGCACTAGACCTGAAGACTCAAGGCGCTATTCTCCATCCAGAGACCCCAGTTCCCACACAACCCACTACTGGGAAGACACCAGCCACAACAAAGCCTCAGTCCTGTACCCAGGAGACCCAGCCCCCCACTAGCAGGCCAGATTCTGCCGGACAACCAGCAGGTCTCGGGCTCTGCCCAATGAGCAGGTCAACACAAGCTTCGAGACTCCCCTAGACTCAGCAACCAAATATGTCAGGAACAGGATCTAACCAACAGTGACCCAACGCATGCTCTAGGACTCCTGAGTCCTGCAACCAGACCCCAGGACCTGGCTGTGTCCTCCAAGTTAGCTGGCACTAGCTCTGGGACTTGGCCTCACCCACCAGTGGGTGATGAACATCCCAGGGTCTTCTGGACCCTTACTCCCCTCACCAGTAACCCAGCACTAAAGGCCCCCAGGGCTCCAGTCAGCCTCCTGATTACCTGCTCCTAAGCAGCAGATAGTGGCTTCTGCACAAGGCAGGACCTGGCAACCACATGAATCGGCACAGAACCTCTGACTCCAATCTGCTGTTCTTTTCCCACCCCTTTACTCCTCACCTTGACTCCTTTCCTGGGCAGCAGCATATACTCCTGTTCAAACTTGTTCCTTATTTCTAAGTAGAGCTTGTGTCCTCCAGGAGCAAAGAAAGTTCCTTTCAAACAATGTTCAGTCAAGGGCTCTGAAAGCTTCTGAAGCTCAGCCTGACAGTATTTGACAGAGGCCTCTTCATTCTGCACCAAGAAGTCTTCCTTCTTTTTCTGGATGGTGACCTGCCAGGGAAATGTGGGGAAATCCGATAGAAAGAAGCTGTGAGAAGGGAAAGTCCAACTGTGGTCCTTTGGAAGAAGCAGTCTGACAGCATCAGGGTGCAGGAGACGCAGAGTAATAGACATGGAGTCAGGAGACTATTTCTACCCCCAGTTCTGACCAGCTCTCTGTGTGGCTGGTGGGAAGTCTCTGAAACCCTGTGGGCTCAGACTCCACACCTGAGAAATGATGGGGTTGGCAGGGGTGATGTCCATGGTTCCCTTAACAGCAGTAGGTCTAACAGTCAGCCATTCACCCACAACAGATGTGAAATTTTCATTATGAAT